AGAAGTCTGCAAACTTCTGGGACCCGGCCAAAGTTTTCCGAGGTGATCCACATCATCATTCCTTTAGCCAGATTTAGGATCCTTTCTGTAGGGGAAAATGATGCCTAAATGGCTACATTTTGGTTCAGGCTGTGTGGTGGGGTGGCTGGCAGTGGACATTAAGTCTAAGGTTTCAGCGTAGATGCATCTCCCAGTGCCTTAGGGTAAATAACAACTGTAGCCAAGGTCGAAGCCAGCCTGTGTGAGTAACTTGTATAACCAAGATCATTCCTGGCACAGGGCCACCCTTGTGTATTTTGGTACAAATGGTGACTGCCATGAGGGCTGAGGGAGACTAAGCAGCTGAGGGCTGCTGCTGCAAGCACGGGCGGACTGGGAGCCTGAGGGAGTGGAGCCACTGAGGATAGAGTCAAACAGTTATTTTCCCCACTGTCTCTTCTTCGGGCTGCCTGGATCTCAAGTGAACCTCCCCGGCTGGAACCCATGATGAGATACTTCTCTACCAGACCCATCACACCCCAAATTCCTCAGGAATACTCAAAGTTTATAAATTGGCTTAATTGAGAAAGAGCAGAAACCGGATCCTAAGATAAAGGAGCAGATTGAGCAAATCCAGAGAATCCCACCCACCCAGACATGGTCTCATTATGTAGCTAGTTCAAGCTAGCCTTGAATCCATTGTATAGCTCAGGGTAGCCTTGGAAGCCAGGTGATCATCTTGCCTCAGCCTACCAAGTGCCACCACACCCAGCTCCAAAGAATGTTTAAATTACCTATTTACACACACACACACACACACACACACACACACACACCCCTAGCAGAATGGACTAGTACCCTTCTAGGGTGAGGTGAGCCATCTTTTTTCAGGCGTTCCGCCCATTTCAAGAGAGGTACAAATATTCCCAGTTCCAAACTGTAAGGCGTCTCATTTCCCTGAGTGCCTGCATTTTATTCTTGAGTGCATCCTAAATTGCTGATAAACCCATCCTGTGCTCCTTACTGGTGTGTCCTGAAAATTCTTTTTCTGTGACAGAAGTCAGCAAATGTGCTACAGAAAAGGGGTGTTAAGGGTAGGCATGGTCACGCATTCTTGTAATTCCAGCACATAGTAGGCTGAGGCAGGAGGATCATCATGAATTTGGGGCCAGCCTGGGCTGCATAGTGAGTATAAGGTCAGCCTGAATTCACACAGTGAGACCCTGCCCCCACACCCCAAAAAAAGGGTTCAATTCCTTATTTCAGCTTTGGGAACCTCTCAGACCCAGCCTGGTAAAGGGTGTGTTTATGTCGTCTTGGGGGTGTCCTCAGGATGGGTGACCTAGGATGTGTATTCCTACTGTGTGTGGGAGGGTGTTAACCACCTGGCCAGCTACATTAGAACAGAAGCCATGTACGTGTGTGTGACACGGAGATCAGCTGTCTACTAATAATGCTACTTCCTTGAGAGTGGGGATATGTGGAGGAGGGCAATTTACAGCAGAAAAGGTAAAAAGCGGGGGCTCAGAGTCCAATTTACAGGCTTGTTCCTTCAGAACCTTAGTGGTTTTTGTTGTTGTTGTCATTATTTTGGTTAGTTTCTTTGGAAGGGAAAAAATTTTGAGTGACTTTTGTGTCCTGACACTGCAGTTCCTCTTAAAAGTACAATTTAAAAATTACAATTTTTCTGTCTTCTTTTTACCTTTTTTTTCCTATTTTACCACAGCAAAACTGTCTTGCACCTTTTAATATCTCCTCTACTTCTGATTAAGAACACAATCACTCCTTCTTTAGCTTTTCTCTATCTGTATCTCAGGATACAAAGGCAAAATAAGCCAAATGACATTTTCAGCATTTTTTCTGGATATTTTAGCTGGAGCTTTCAGTTAATGAAGTAGTTTTTTTATTTTTTACATTAGAGGTAAAAGTTTTTGTTGGTTTTTTTGTTTGTTTGTTTTGTTTTACAAGTCTATCCTTCCAGGTTCCAATAATCATTTTCCTTGACTTTCCCTTGAGGCTTCTCCTGCAGTGGCCCTAAGGGACTTCTGGCTTTCCCAAAAGGGGTCATGGAAGCCTGTGAGGCATCTCCCACCGCCTGCTCCAAACCACACGTTTTAAATTTTATTAAGGAAGCACCACACTTCCAGATATCAGATTTTGCTCTACTTCTCTGGTGCTGCATAGCAGATGGCCTCAAACTTAGTGGGGTAGGCCATGCGTTTTATTATGGTCATGGATTCTGTGGATTAGGAATTTGGACCCCACACAGAGGAGAGGGTTATCTATGCTCCATGATGTCTTGGATTTCAAGTAGGACTTCAAATGGCTGGGAATAGAGCAACTGAACTTAGAGAACCCACTTCTCTGGTGACTTCTCTCACAAGGCTGCCTCTTGGATGGGTAGGCTGGAAGGCTGGGACCTGCTGGGGTTTTATGTTTGTTTGTTTCTTTGTTTTGTTTTTGAGACAGTATCGCTATGTAGCTCAGCCTAGCCTTGAACTTACTAGGTCGCCCGGGCTGTCCTGGAATCTTCCTGCCTCAGCCTCCCTAGTACTGGGATTACCGGTGTGTGGAACCCTGCCTGGCTGGATCTGCTGCTTTTCTTGGCAGAACCTGAATGTGGCTTCTCAAGCACGGTGGCTTCAGGGCAGTTGGGCTTATATAGTGGCTCAGGAAAGACAAGCCAACAAAGAGCTGTAGAGGTAATGAGCAACAGGATGAAGCCCATAGTTTTTGGCAGAGTTTTCCCAGAAAAGAAAAACTCCTCCCTGGAGAGGAGTCTGGGATTGTGGGCTGAGAAGAAAATATCTTAGTCGTCTGTGTGTGTGTGTGTGTGTGTGTGTGTGTGTGAGTGTATGCACACACACAATTCATAAGAGGGCAAACAGGTTTTCTGGGAGTAGCCAGACTTGCATGAAGATGGATGGCAAATGTGAGTTGAATCTGGTTGCCAAGCTCTCAGCTTCACTGAGGGCCTGGGAATGGGAATAAAGCTGTCCCAGTAGCAGGGAGGGAGGTTCAGAGGCCACTACTCAGGCCACAGCTGCCAGAAGGGAGGGAGCAAATGGTACAGTGGGTTGGACAGTAGCCCCCAAAGAGATATAACCAAGTCCCAAAACCCTGTACCTGTGAATATGACCTTTTAAAGAAATGGGATGTTTTTCTAAAATAAGGATTTTGAGGTGAGATTGTCAACCTGGATTTACTGTAGGCTTTAAATCCAAAAGCAAGTTTCCTCATAAAAGAAAGGAGCGATCAGAGACATACAGGCAGGTAGAAAGGCAAGGTGAAGATAAGGGCAGAGTGGAGGGAGCCACAGCCGAGGGACACCAAGGATTGCTAGTCACCGCCACAGGCTACCACATGTATGGCTTTCTCAGAGCCTCTGAAAGGAACCAACCCAGCCAACACTGATTTCAGGCTTCTAGCTGACACAACTGTAGTAAAATAAGTTATATGCGTCATTTTAAGCCGCCAGTTTGTGGTAATTTGTTAGGGCAGCCCCAGGAAACTGGGCATGGTGACTTACACATGTAATCTCAGAACTCTGGAAGCCCGAGGTAAGAGGACTGCAAGGTTAGAGCCCAGTCTGGGTAATTTAGCAGCTTAAAGAGACTAAGGGGGAGAGGGACAGAGAGAGAGAGAGAGAGAGAGAGAGAGAGAGAGAAAGCACACGCGTTCACCTGACTGGGTAGACACGGGAGACCAAAGGCCTCCGAAGTTGGAGGAAGAGGAACAGGAGCCCAGTGTTACCATCCCCCAGTGTATGTTGCCCCATGCACCCTGTCCACCCGTTCCTACCCTTCAGTCTTTCACAACTCAAGCCCTAATTCCATGGCCTCCCTGCCCCTATTCCAACATCTCAGCACTGGCTCCTTCTGGGGCTACATTAGAGAGCACTTCCTTGGGACTCCCTCCACGGCACGGCCTGACCTTTGTGCAGCAGATTTGCAGATTCTCTGCAGCCCTGTGCAGTTGGCACCTCCCTATCTCTGTCTTTTGAAGTGCTTTCCACACACCGAGGCTTAACGAGGTTACTCATTCATTCCAGGCCCTGTGCAGTTGGCACCTCCCTCTCCTATCTCTGTCTTTTGAAGTGCTTTCCACACACCGAGGCTTAACGAGGTTACTCATTCATTCCTCAGCATCCCTTCCCTCTCGTCCTTCCTTTTTCCTCTCCCTGCTCTTGTTGAATTTATACCAAAATCTTGTCAGAGCTGAAGGATAATGTCCCCCAGGGTTCTGGTGTGATGGTGTCTGCAACCACAGACTGTCCCCAGCCCCATGTTCTCCGGAGGAATCTGATGATATAATCGTTAAATCACAGGCCTTCTGTAGTCCTACTCCCAGACAATAATCTGTGTATAAATTTGGACAAGTCGCTGCAACTTTTGCTCCTGTTTTCCTCCTAGGTAAAAAGTCAGAGTAGTTGCCTTCCCTTCTCTCCCTTGTTGCTTGTTGAGACCAAGTGCTATAAAGCCTGTGGATTCTGGGTGAGTGATTAACACAGCTCCTGAGAGCTCAAGTTTTATAGCTTTAAAGCTACTGTTTTCGGGGACTCACCAGGTACCATATAAACCCTTCCTTTCAGGGAAACAATTTTGGCTTCATAAGGAACAGTAACAGCCCACACAGGAACAGGCTTCAGGACAAGACGAGCCCCCGCCCGGAGGAGTATCTCGGGTATTCCTTCCAGCTGTGGGGCCCTACGGGCCTCCAGAAAGTATCTACTGAGCTGAGGGGGTCACCTCTTCCACAGGAAAGTGAAGATGGAGACTTAATTTCCCTGGAGAAGCGGTGGTGTATGGAAGCCCTGGGCTGCTCTCAATAGAACCTTACACAGACTCCAGGATTGTCTGATGCCCCAATCAGAAGGCAAGCAAAGGAAATGTCTGGTGTGGTATTTGCTTTTATTATTTCCACTCAGTCACAGATCCCGGGAAGGAGAGGCCAGGGAAGAGAACAGGCGTGGGACCCTGGGGCACTTGGAGCTGAGGCTGGAAGGACAGCAGTGGTGTCTTCGGCCAAGGCCAAGAATCTCGGCCCTCAGTGTGTGGGGGGAACATCTCAGGGTTGCAGGCAGCGCAGGGATGGTTTTCAGCGGACAATGTCCAAGAGATGTGACGGTCTTTGGACAAAAGGAACAGTCGATGGCGTTGAGAAGACAGGTCTGGGAGACCTGGGGAAGGAAAGCTGGCAGCCAGGTCCCTCCCCTCATCTTCAGCCACGGCACCGGCACCCGTTTCTCTCCCGCAGAAGTTGTTCCTGCTTTTTCTCAAGAAGCCACAGGGGGGCAGCAAAATGTTTGTGTAAAGTTCCAACACCCACCCAGCCCCAGACAGGCCTCCAGGGACTTGTCCTCAAGTGGGCCAGGGAAGGAAAGTGTATCAGTTAGATCTTGACTCCCCCAGCAATGGAAGAGCCGAGATTCTGGGGACATCCCCAGGCTAGGCAGAGCAAGCCTCACACGTATGCCCAGGAATTGGTGTGGGGAGTCGGGGACTCTTGAGTAATGCTTGGGCCCCAATCTGCCACGTTCTCTCATCAGAAGACTTCTGGACTCCCATCCGAGATGGGCAGATTCAGGCTTCATTCTAGCTTTATAGAATCCAACCTACCTCTTCCCAGGTCCAGCCCCACCCAGGCTAAAAAATGTGAGGGGCCAGCGCTCTTCTCCCTCTATAGTTTGCAGCACCTGCTCAGCTTCAGTTTCCTGTAATCCTGCATTCCTCATAATCTCGCATTCCTCTTCCCCACCCTTCCTCCTTCTGAGACCCATCAGGTGCTCTTGGAGTGCCTCACTGCCGGGATCGGAGGCCAGACACACGGGCTGGAGCTCTAGCTTTGCTGTCAGCTCAGGGCCCTCCGCAGGGCTGCCCACCTTTGAGATTGCTGTGATTTGTGCCCAGGGCATTTATGGTTGAAGGCTTGCCTCTCCCCCAGTCTTTCGGAACCCAGCCATGGAAAATTTACTCAATTCCATTTCTGCATAAATTATCCAGTGAAGAGGAGGATGTGGACAAGTGGATTCTGAGAAGCTGTCCAGTGTGAGAATGGCAGGCCAAGGGGGGTGTGGATAGCAAACCCTTCTAGAACTTGAGGCCAGAGACTAAGAAAGGAATCTAAGTGGGTTTTGGAGGGCAGGAAGTCAGTGGAAATAAGTGTCTTAGTGCTTCTCCCTGCCCCACACTGGCCATAGACTTCCATCTTGTGGATAGGAATCACAGAGAGCAAGAAATACTTGCTATGCTAATACCACAATCCTGATGGCAGTGAGGCTAGGAATCAGAGACTAGAAATCCTGCCTCCCAGCTGGTGTCAAGAGAATGGAACTTCAGAATTCAAACTCTGGTGGGAGTGGGAAAGGGAAGATGCAAGGCCAGGTGGCGCTCTACGAGGCCACAAGTCCTCAGAGATGTCGGGTTTAACACCAACCTCTTGGCTCCCACACTGTCTCATTCCGGCCTCACTCAGGCTGGAGGGAAACTTGGAGGCCTTTTGTTCCGCCGTGTGTGTGTGTGTGTGTGTGTGTGTGTGTGTGTGTGTGTTGCTGGGAATTGAACCCAGGGCCTTGTGAATGCTAAGCAAGCACATTACCATTCAGCCACACACCACAGTCCCAAGAGTGATGCTTTTGAGTGAGGCAGTCTTGGATCTGAATCCCAGATCCACCACTGCTAAGTGTCTGACCTTGAACTCATTACCAAGCCTTTCTGAGCATCTGGGCTTTGCCCTACCCAATGGGGCTGCACAGAATGCTGCCTTTGTAGCACTGGTGCAGGGATTAATTTAGACCAGCACACAGTGAGCATCTCCTCCATGCCCCAGTTGCCTTTACCTCACACATGTCACCTGCTGGTCCTTGATTCCTTCTCTCCTCAAATACCCAAGATGGAACAAAACTTCAAATAGGTCTGTAATATTTCTTGAAAGCTAGAAGTAGGAAAGCGGGGGAGGGTGGGCTCAGGAGTGGATGGATAACATACCTAGTCACCCTTCCAACGAAGGAAGAAGAAGAGAAGCACAGAAGTTAGAGGCCAAAGGAGGGTCCTGGTATCCACTTAGAGCCTCCGTGCCTCCACTCAGTAACTTTCCACTGGCCCAGAGTTGGCCACGTGCTGGCTGCACACTGCCCCAGGTGTGGTCCCGTTGTGCACTCCCCACCAGGCACCCAGCCAGGAGCGGGGTGGCTGATGCACACCCTGCCTGAGATCCCAGCCGCCTGGAGGCTGATAAGGAGCCTTGGCCTCATCACATGGGACCAGCTTGAGGGGCTGACCCTGGCTGTTAGCATCAGCTGGACAGCTTCCAAATTGGAGAGATGTGAAGATAAGAGGGGACTCCGGGACTCTGGGCAGAGTGAATGGCCAGGAAGGGGGGATATTGGTGGACGCTGCCAACTCCTAAGTCCTCAGGAGACCTGGCTGGGGATAAGCCAGGAGTGGGAGCAGGTGGGGCGGTCTTAGGAGATAAGAGGTGCAGGACTGACTCAGGCCCAGGCTTGGGTAGGGCGAGGGGCAGGACAGGATCCCTCCAGGTGGGACTGGACCAACAGCTGGAGCTGCTTCATCCCTAGAACATTAGCAGGAGACCCCAGTGCACCTCCCTCCTCCTCAGAGCTGTGGGAGCAGCCCAGGTAGGGCTGAGAAGATGAAGATGTGGGTCCTAGTCCTCCAACTCCAAGCACCCCCTGAGGGAATGCAGGTCTGGGGAGTTGCCCATTCTGCAGAGCCCAGTCTCCCCAGTTGGCTCTCTGGCCCCATCTCCCTGGGACAGGAGTCCAGGATGGGCCCTCACTTAGGAGCAGTACTCCCTGCACCTACCGCCTGCTCCACAGTGCCCTGTCCTGATCCAGGAGGGTACACTAGGGCAACCAGTAGAAGTACTGACTTTCTGTCCCTTTCCCCAGGGCCCAAGTCCCCGGAACGAGCGCTGGCCCTAGAATTGAGAGAAGGCGAGAGTCTGCATAGCCCCATCCCACCCTGTACAGCACCCTTCCCTCGTCTCCCAGCCACCCTCCTCCTCCCTTCCAGAGCAGCACTGCTTGGCCTGGAAGAGAGAAGGGGTAGGCTGGACACTGGACAATGTGCCCAGGGTCACTGCAGCCCCACGGGAATCTTGGTGTGGCACAGACCTCAGCCAGGCTAACTGGGGTCTCATTCCCTACGCTCAGGTCCTGCTGGGCTCCTCCCACTGTCCTTTGGGTCCACAAACCCAGGGGGGGCCTTCAGCCTTGACTTCCCAGTTTGGGAGATGGTAACTGCGAGGCGGGCGGCACAGGGGACAGTGTGGCCTCAGTTCCGCGGCACCCCAAAGGTGGCCTATGTACAAGCTGCTGAGGGTATGTGAGGGCTGGCTGGGGGACTGAGCGCTGGTCACAGTCTGGCTGCAGCGAGTTTATGTCTGGTCTGGCAGGAGCACAGGATTAGGGGACCGAGAAGGGGCATTTTCGGGAGGAAGCGGGTGGGACGGCAAGGGCTCCTCATTCCCGGTTAGTGCCAAAGAGCTGCAGGAAGAAGGTGAAGATATAGATGATGTCCAGGTAAATGTTGAGGGCGCCAAATATATACTCCTCAGGGCTCAGCGAGTGGCGCCGGTTACCCATCAACAACTGGGTGTCGAATGCCAGGAACTGGGAAAGGGAGGAGAGAGAGGACAGCGTCTAGACAGTGTGATATGGGTTATGGCAGCCACGGCACCCACTCAGGACCACCCCGATTTTATTGTCCTCACTGCCAGCTGACTGACTGGTGACTCTCGTGTGAAAGCCCTGAATCTGGAATCTGGAACTTTTCCCACACCTTCCGCCACTACTTCTGGTCAACACCTATACCTGCTGTATACCAGGCACAGCGAAGCACAGAGAAAAGGAGCAGCTAGAGCCCTACGTAGAGTCTGGCAGGAAGTAAGTGTTAGCATGAGTGTAACCAAAAAAGCAATACAGGTTGCGGGGCAGGGGCGGGGGCTGCGGGGGAGGAACCTGGCTTCCTCAGGGCCTCTTTGAGCTTAGTCTGGCGTCTTGCCTTTCCCTCAGAACCCTGCTCTGGGTCAGAGGATAAACCAAGGCAACAGCAAGCAGCGACTGAACACTTCTCATGAGCTGCGCAGCCTATCTGTCCACTGCTTTCCCTTTCCAGTAGGACTCATCCCAGAGGAAATTGAGGCTAGAGGTGTTAAACGTTTGCCCAAGTTCATACAGCTGGGAAATGGCAAGGCCACGATTTGGACCTGAGCTGGCTGGTCCCAGAGCTCCGCATTTAACTGTTCTACTCTGCTGCTCATGGGCAGCACCTGGCATTAATGTGTTTCCTCCTAGGCCATAGGCTCTCCCTGGTGGGCGGGGGCTTTGAGGCCTAAGGGACTCTGAACTCGTTCCCTTAGCGCCAGCTCCTCTCTGCTGCCCACTGCTCGTACCAGTCCTTCCCGCTAACGACAGTGACACCCTGCTCTCACGCAGCTTTCCTCTGGTCCGAGCTTAGGTTGCAGAACCCCTCCAAAGGTAGCATATGAATGAATTTTGGCAGGCATGCTGCACCTTTCTGAGGAGAGGCCAACAAGCCCACTAGCACGGGGTGTGGTGGCACACCTTCCTAATTCCAGCACTCAGGAGGCCGGAAGGTCGCCACGAGCTTGAGGTCAGTCTAGGATACATAGCAAGTTCAAGGCCAGACTGGGCTACATACTGAGACCTTGTTTCAAAAAACCAAAGCCAAAACCAACAAAACAGAAAAGTCCACTAGTGTCTCAAAAGGTGAGAACTGTCGTTCCTCACGTGATTGAGATTCTCTAAGTCCACTCATATTGTTACGGTTGGGCCCTGCTTTTCCATTACTTGTGCGTGGAAGCTTGGATTCCCTGGGTCCCCTGAAACTCATTCGTTACACCAAAGATATTCATGGGGTGCCAGCTGCATGTCGGGGATTTGATGAGAGCTGTGCCTGCTGCCGGGAGCTCACAGCTCAGTGGGGGACACTTGTAGATAGTAACAAGAAAACTCTGGGCTGTGGAGGAGGGACTCACTCCTGACAGGACAGGACAGCGTCAGGGAGAGGTGACACCGCAAGTGGGGACTGAAGGATGAGGAGTCGAGGTTTTCGGCGCTGAGAGGACCCAGGGCAGTGACGAGGAACCTTTTAGAGCTTTCAGTGACACAGGCAGCTTTCCGACGCACATGTGCCATAGGTTCGCCACCATTGGCCCAGGAGAACCCTGAGGACCTGTGAGGTCACTGTGAGGAGAGAGGCATTCCTTGTGGCAGCAACCTGTGGGAAGGGCGAGGGGACAAAGGAGCTGGAGCTGCTAGAAACATGCACTTTGCCCTTCCTTATCCCAGCCACCAACTCCTTGCCCTCCAGGACCCAGGTTCCTCGGGGGTGTGTCAGATGCAGCTCCGTGGAAAACCTAAAATTCTTGCTTCTGTGGCAATTCTTGCTCTCAGTGCACAGGGGGCCAGAGGCGTCAATGGAGCCTCTGATGAAGGACATGGGACAGGAAGGCAGGTCACCCTTGCAGGTGGGGCAGAGGGGATGATTATGAGCTCAGTATTGAACAGCAGCCTGACTTGAATCTCTGCCTTGCCACTAGCTGGGAAACCCAGGCAGGACGTTCAAGGTCTCCGTGCCTGTGAGCCCCTAGCTGTGAAGGAAGGGGAGAGTGCTTGCCCCATGAGGTCGTCATGAGAGAGAGATCGCGTGTGCAGCGCGCCTAGCTTGGTGCTGACACTCAGTCAGCCCTAGTGAATGGTAACGACGGCAAGGGTGTTACTGTTACTGTCCGCAGAAGGATAGGCGCCCTCCTGCGAAGGGGTACATGCTGCCAGTGAGACCAAGGTGGCTCCTTATCTCATCAGAGAGGCTGACGTGCTCCCAGGGCTGCTGTGTGGCCTTGACCAGGACTCAGGTGTGCCAGGCAGTACTGAAGGAAGAACACTGAGCAACATGGGCCTGGAGTTAGGATGTCTGGGTTTGGGTCCTGGCGCTGACTCTCAGGGTCAGCTCATTCGTTTTGACCTCAGTGTCCTCACCTACCAAGTGGGATAGTAACAGTGCCCATGCCCACGGGCGGCAGTGCAGAGGGCATCGACAGCTACCATCCTTTAGTATGATTCTACTCTGCTGCATTTGACTCGAGTTCCCAAGTGAATTTTCCTTCTGCAGAAAGAACAAGCAAGCAGAGGGACAGATTCCAATGCTACGGGTTGGTTAGCAGTCACAGCTGCCAGCCTAAGTTAATAAACTTCTGATCTTGCTTATCAATCAGTAGCTTGCTTGGTTGATTCCCCAGAGTCTGGTCAACCTTGGCTGAGCTAATGAAATGGAACCGCTCAGCCTAGAAGGCTTGGACCTGAGCAGGTCTGGGGGTGGCCTCCCCAAAGAGCACCCATCCAGGAGGCTCCCTAGAGCGGCCAGATGGCTTTTCTCTGAGAAGAGGAAAGAAATGATTTCGACCTCTGTTGTCCTTGTCCATGGATGCTTATCTATGTGATGCTCTTTGGGGTGGCCTCCCTCAAATGTGAACCCTGCTGCTTGGCACCATCATCCAGCACCATAAGCTGTGACTCAACCAAAGGCTTTTTTCACTAAGTTCTTCTCAACAGTATTTGCTGAGCACCTACTATGTTCCAGGGAATGTGTGCTCTAGAACTGACCAACTAAAGACATTACCAGAGATTCTGTTAAGGGCGTGTGTTCATTATGGGGACAGCAATCTGCTGGCATCTCCCTGGGTGATGGAAAGCACTGTCTGGTCTCTCAGGGGAAAGCAGGTATCTTGGTTAGAGTGGGCAGCCTAGTAGGCAGTGAGAGCTAGCTGAGCGCTAGTGACCGAGTTGACTACTGACACCTCAAAGGACAGCAGGTGCTCAAGTCAGCAGCCAACTGAGCCCCAACCCTTCGGCAGGAGCCTGTGAGACGGGCACAGGCACGGGACGAGTCAGCAGTGGGACTAAGGTGCCCTTTACTCATGTCGGGGTCCCTGCCCTCGCCAATTCTTTGTCTCATCTCACCCTCCCAACCTGTCCTGGAAATGGGCCATGTCACTGTTTTATATTTGAGGCAGAGTCTCCGAGAGGTGAGTGGCTTGCGGATGGTCACTGGTCCAGGGCTAGAACCAGGTTCCCCTCCTCCCGTGCTGGTGGAGGTGGAGGCAGAGTGGGCTTGTGGGGAGGCCAGAGGGGCCTCCACAGAACAGAGGCTCCCCACTGGCCAGGGCTGTACCTGCTCAGGGCCCGGCTGCACCCCGGGTCTGCTGCTGCTGAGTCAGGATGCAGGCTTATGTCCTGCTGTGCCCTGAGACCTGGCCTGAGAGAGGAGGCTGACGTGCTCTGGGATGGCCATGCATGGAAAGCCCAGCTCAGAACCACCACCAGGCAGGCACTGAATACAAAGAGCTGGGGTTGCAATGTGTCGTACTAGCATAAAAAGGAACTCGTGGGCCATGTCCATCCTACAGAAATGTCAGCACAGTAGCGCACCCAGCCCCTTCTACCAGTGCTGGTTCTAACAGTGATTCACTGGAAACAGCCCAAACTCTCCACAGGGGGTTCGTAAATGAGCCGACAATGGTACTGAGGCTGCAGCGTCTCCCATATATGCTACTATGAGAAAAAGGAAGGCAGCAGAAAAATCCATTTCATATGATCCCACAATGCTAGACGTGTCACAGGAGCCTAGACAGCTCGTAAGTGTTTGGCAAGGTCTAGAAGGAGAGATACCTGCCCAGAGGGCAAGACAGGGAGAGACAAGAAAACAATGATGTCTACATTTTTAAAATTAAAAAACGGAAACATATGAATATGAATGTGAATATATTCATATATTATCAAGCTAGAAGTTAAAACTAGAAGAGGAAAAAACAACACGACTCTGTCATTTAATGCTCACTGTAGACCTTTGTGACAAGTGTTGTGTCACCATCTCGATCACTGCTGAGGAGACTGAGGTGCACACGGCCTAAGTGACTTGCACACTTCGCACAGCCAAGAGGTCAGCTCAAGTCTCCTGATCACAAATCCCAAGAGAAGTGAACACAGTGCATGTATGTGTGCGCTCACGTGTGTGCTGAAGGATGGAAAGAGGGAAGAGAAGCAAACAGCCCATAGCCCAGTGCTATGCAGGCTTCCTGGGGTGATGCGGCGGGCGCTGGCTTCACCTGGCCCTGCCACCACTCTCTGAACTTGAGGGTAATCTTGGGATCTGGGGATGTTTAGGAGAAGGGACTCTGTGCCCAGGTTGGGCTGTAGGACAGCTGGGTAGCAGGGGAGCGGGTAGAAGCCACTGAGAGAAAGCCTGGGCTCCGCTTCTTGCCCGATGCCAATAGAAGGCACTGCTTCTCACTGACCCCATTGTCAGAATTCTTAAATGCACAGCCAATGTTGGCAACCTCAGGCAAGGCACTGAAGGAGCAGGGTATGGCAGCAGAGCCAGAAAGCCCGGCCCGGGATGAAAAGAGGGTAGTGTACAATGATGCGTGCATGAAAGAGCCCATTATGAGAGAGGGCATGACTATAATGCAGGGCCTAAGCGCACAGGCTGGGGACACGCATAGCCTGGGCTCAGATCTTGGCTCCGACTCTAGACAACTCCCTGTCCCTGACCAGTCAAGCATTACTGATCAGTGATGATACACACGCAT